GTATGCCAAGTGTCTTGACCCCTGAGACCTTGGAGTCCTTGGCGATAGAGGGCCGTGGCGCCTCGTTGCCTTGTCTGGCCTCGGCAATCGTGACACTCTTTTCCTTTTTGTGACGCGCAGAAGCAGATTGCAAAAAGCCCATCAACCAGATCTCGGGGTTTTGGTTCTCCTTGGACCGTCTGGTCAACTTCATCTCCACAGACCGTGTATCTTGAGACGCATAGCGAGTAAAATAAAACCACCATATTGGCCGAGCTGAGACCACCTGGCTACCAGCAAAGCTACAAGATGCGAGTGCGCTCGTTTGCGCGAACTGAACCACCTGACCAGGACCTAATCAAACATGCGACTTGCATCCGAGCCGAACAGAAACTACGTAGCCTTACAGGCATTTCGATCGTGCTCGTCATTCGGTGCAACCGCCATCGTGTCACTTGCGATTCCGTGATAGCTGCAACATGCATACAAATACGACCATGTCATCCTGGACTATCCTTGTACCAGTAGCACAACCCGAGCAGTGGCTGGCTGAAGATTACAGGGTGCCTGGTAATTTTCCTGATTTAGTATTTCAGCCCTATTTGACTATACAGGCACTTTTTACGAAGGATCGACACGTATCCAGGGGCCGTGGCGCTGCTAGCGTACGCCGAAACGAGAAGCATCCAGCGGGGTGCATATCAGGCATTGTCGGCGGAACCCTGGCCAAAACGCCCGGCGGGAAACCCATGACCAATTATGGGGCTTTTCTCAGACGCTGTAAGGCGTTGGGAAAGCCATGTGTAGAACACACAGGCGCTCGGAACATCTTGCGCGATGGAATCTGGGAAGAAGATGACTTTCTATGATTCCCGCCTTGGTCACATTACTCCATGGGACTGCGTTGTTCAATGGAGATACATAACAATTGCGCTGAGCACGATTCGAGGGTTGCTTACTTGGGTGAAGGCCCGCGATGCTCATGACAAAGCTGCAAGATAAGCGAAGGTCCTGCAGCCAGGAGGTCGCTTGAGGCTACTAAGACGTTGTTGAAAGTAGGTCCATCGCCCGAGAAGCCTCTCCTGTGCACCTTTGATTGGCTCGCCGTGAATGGCAGTGCTGAGCAGACATCCTGCAGCAATAATCAGTCTGCTACTGGGATTCTTGACGATCACCGGCGGTGTCACCCCGTCGCAGATTCCATAATCTCAATCTATCACTGCGGAGAGGGTGAGGCTGGAATGCTTTCCGTGCTGTCGTCGTTTGTCGGAGCTGACGACTAGTTGCATACAATCTCCCATGTATCCTTCGCAGAGGGCATCACTATAGCTTGGACAGTGCTGACAGGATCAAAAGCTAATCTCGCATCAAGTGCCCAAGAAAAGGAGGCCAGCCTCACAGCACGTGGTATGCGCCCAGAAAAAGTCCTTGACCTTGGGTCCCAACATGGATATCCAATGAGCATGGCAGATTTCAGGTCAAGAAGGTATATAAAGTCCATGTCATCGTTCGAGCATTTGCAGCTCAGCAAAAAGTTCAATCCATTTACAAGCACACTGCGATACCAACATTGAAATGGCAAGATCTACCACCATCATTACTGTACTCCTCTGGGGCGTCATCATTGCTCCAGTCCTTGCTCGCCTGTCCCATCCGAGAGCAAGACAGGCAAGCAGCGACCTCACTCCTATCATGTTCTCCGACCCAATCCTTGAGCCAAACATCCTCACCACCTTCCCAAATGGCACCTGGGTCGAGAACCTCTCTGCTCGCGCAGCGGACGGCAATTTCCTCGCAACTGTCCTCTCCGCACCAGAGGTCTACCTGCTCTCATCGAGCGGTGAATTTGATCCGATCCTTATTGCCGAGTTCCCAGGCTATCTTGGTGTGCTAGGCATCGTCGAGCTCGGTCACGATGTTTTCTATGTTGCTGTCGGCAATTACTCCACAACGGCCGGCACTTCGACTCCGGGAAGTTGGTCCGTTTGGGAGATCGACCTTAACGGCCTTTCTCGCGGTGGCGAGGCTAAGCACCATTGGCGCGATTGGAAAAGAGATGGACAAGCCAAGACTAAGCTCATCGCAGAGCTCCCGGACGCCGGTCTTCTCAATGGAGTGGCTGTCCTGAATCCGACTGCCGGCACGATCTTGGTGGGCGACTCACTAAAAGGTACCGTCTGGTCAGTGAACGTCCGCACAGGAGACGCCGCCGTCGTCATCGACGACGAGAGTATGGCGCCCGACGCAGACCTTTCTGGCGGGTTGGCAATCGGTATCAACGGTCTCAGTGTCAGCAACGGGTATCTCTACTACGACAACACGAATCAGGTCACCTTCTACCGTCTCCCTATCAACGAGACAACAGGCTCTGCGTCGGGACCAACGGAGCTGCTCATCGACCAGGAATTCTCCAACATCTTTCCCGATGATTTCGCCCTTGACTTTGAAGGCAATGCTTGGTTGGCCTGTCAGTATGGTCACGTCGCATTTCTCGAAGGGGTGGCTGCTGGGGAACGTTTGAACATCACAGCAGTGGCGGGAAATGCCACAGGTCTCCCTCACGGCCTCACAGCGGCAAAGTTTGGGACGACCGCGGAGGATCTGAAGCGCGGCTCTCTGTACGTTACCACGAACGGAGATCCCTTCTCGTATGGGTCGGACAACCCTGCGCAGGGTCAATTCGTCAGATACGACACTGCGGTGCTGGGTTTCTACTGATGGCTCCTGATTATCAGCGCAAGTGACCTTGTCATAGATTGCGTCGATACTAGCGGTATTTGATTCGTGTCTGACTATGAGGCGAAGAGCTGGAAACAGATTAATCCTTCAATTCATTTTTTGTGTACCCTTTGGCCCGCGATGGCCCAAACTACTAGCGCTTTTGACGCTTAGATAAGTAGCTATAATATCAATCATTCAAATAAATCGAAAACTTCCCTGCTCAACATATGCATACTTGCTCCTCACCAAAATTCGGATAGCCTCGTTCCTTGTCTGATGAGCCAGTCTCCGTGCTAGTATGAGAACGGACACGGCACCCTTTCCCCTTCATGGTGACTTTTAACACAAGCAACCTCGGATTCTCAAGCGCGATCTGCTGCACTCGACCAAGCGCCCTAACCTGATGCGAGAAGGCACATATGCAAATCGCCAGGATTGTACCTTGCGCGGATTAAACCAGTTACTTGCTGCTTACATAATGGCTACGGGCTGAGAGTATAGAGGCCTCATTTCGCGAGGTGCATGCGCTGTCCGGGTCTTCAGCCTCACCTACACACCATGGAGTCTATCGGGAAGCAGCCTTCAACAGATCGCTGTCCTCGGGAACTTTCTACTGTGATTGCTAGTGTCTGTTCGCAGAAACCTGTCTGCTGACAGTTTTCCTTTCTCAGGTATAGCATGCGAGCAAGGACGGTTCATTGCATCAGCAGCTTAGTGCTCCAGTGATATCTCAACTTGACATCTGCGCTCGAGGGCTGAGCTTTGTGTCGGAATTGGTCTGTGTCATGGCTGGCTGAAAAGGCATCATATGTTACCTGGTTGCTGATGAGCTGATAGGCCGGACTGTTGGAATGCGAAGGTGTCTTCGCAGATCTGTAAGAGTCATCTTGCATTGCTTGTAACATTTAATCTCGGCCCATGGTGACATTTCCGGACATATCTGACACGCCTCTCGCTCGGACTATCTTGGTATCAGACGTCTCTTCGACGGCTTTCGTTCGACTGATATGGCTCGGGTCTTTGGCGGAGTAAGATGAGGCATGGAGGCAAGCTGAAATTTAGTCCCCTGTGTCTGCAACGTGCAGGTTCTATAACGTCGGCGTTCGCCTACACTGGTTCTAGTCCTCAAGCTAGAACAGAGTGCTCGAGATATAAAGCTCTTCGGGATTGAAAGCCATCCAGAGAATATCCCACCACAATAGCGTCCTAAAGCTTTGACACAAGAGGCGTGCAACTTCTCAGTATTCCGTTTGGCATTGCAAAGAAGATTTGTTTGTCGAAAATGGACGGCAAAGTGGTAAGTATAGGCTCATGGTTGACCTCGCATTATCGGTTTCTTTCCGGATAACGCATGATGATTTTCACAGGCTGACGGCAGAACTTTCAGGTAGCCATAACGGGCGCTGCTTCAGGCATTGGACGTGCAACAGCGCAGCTCCTGGCATCGCAAGGTGCACTTCTCTCGATTTCCGACCACGATGCCGATGGACTTGAGGCTACGCTTGAATCACTTCACGACACTGTCACTGCTGGATGGTCACACCTCTCCACTATAGTCAACGTCTCGTCTGCATCAGCAGTCGAGGAATGGATCACATCCACAGTGAAGCACTTTGGACGACTCGACTGCGCAGCCAATATCGCCGGTATCCATTTCATGAGACCGATCTCGATCCGGCAGTCGACTGACGAGGAATGGGCTCAAGTCATGGACATCAACGCCACTGGAGTCTTCCGCTGTCTCCGCGCTCAATTGAAGCAGATGCAGAGCGGTGCCAGTATTGTGAATGTTGCAAGTATCGCGGGCCATGTCGGTTTGGCTGGAAGTAGTGCATACTGCGCCAGCAAGCACGCAGTCATTGGACTTACCAAGGCGGCGGCACGAGAAGAGGGAGACGGAGGGGTTCGAGTCAATTGCCTTGCTCCTGGTAAGCTGATTCCCATGGTTTGTATGACACTGGCTGACCGTCCTTCGTATCTAGGCTCTATCAAGACACCATTGACTGATCAAATACCCGAAGAGGCTCGACCTCACATTGTTGCAACACAGTGTCAGAAGCGCTGGGGCGATCCAATGGAAGCAGCGAAGGTCATCGCCTTTTTGTTGAGTGATGAGGCTACTTTTGTAACCGGCGCTTGTTACGCTGTTGATGGAGGTTGGCTGTGTTGATCAGGCCTACCGTTGGGGGAGGGAACAGCCACCTGTTGCCGCCAGCCTGGTTGGTCGAGGCAGTGTTGAAGTTCTGTGGACCGTACTTGATAAAGCAGCACAGAGCTGTGATGGGATAAATGCGTATGATGAAGCTTCTAATACAGGGTTGCGCGCTAGGCTGCTAGCCAGGAACACACTCTTGATACTTCGGCACGTGCGAATATTTGTTGTCCTGCTTCCAACTCTCCGCTTTGCACGGAAATTACTGTCTGTTGCAGTGCTTTCCGCATTCTGGGAGGTGATGCCCGGACGAATTTGCTCTGGGGCCCGAAAGGGTCATCCGGAGTTATAGCTCCTGGAGTTCGTGGGGAAGCCCCCAACTCTGCCCCGATCCGAGCCCTATCGGCGCTCTGTGATTAGAAACGACCCCACGGATCGGGGGTCACGGCACTTGAGAACCCCAAGGGCGATGCCGAGGGTGTAGACAAAACGGGGACATCTCCGATGAACATGGCGATCATTCGTGTCTTCACCTTGCTTTTCGTGTTTGAGCACTGTCTGGAGCGTGGGTAGTTGTTGCGATACGTCTCGTTACTTCCAAAGATGGCCAGGCGGGTATCAGTGTCGGAGCTGGAGCAGCACAGCACCAAGGAGAGCGTGTGGCTCGTGGTAAACGAGTGGGTCTACGATATGACCAACTTCGCAACGGAGCATCCAGGTGGCGCCGACAGTAAGTCATTGCTTGAGCTTCGCAGCCATTGCAAACAACAGCTGACAGCAAAGTCATCTACCAACATGCCGGCCGCGATGCTTCTATCAGCTACAATGAGATCCATGCCCCCTCGCTAATCAAGAAAACTCTGAACGAGGCTGAGCATGTTGGCATATTGGATCGATCAACCGCGCCGGAGGGATGGGGTACTCCGGTAGGCCAGCCCCAACAGCTGCAGCGCAGCAGCGGTGATGAGAAAGTGCCCTTAGACAACATCATCAACCTGTACGACTTCGAGGAGGTGGCGAGACGGACATGGCCGGAGAAGTCCTGGGCCTACATCAACGGGGCCTCCAATGACAACATAACCCGTGACGCCAACAGCAGCATTTTCCAAAAGATCTGGCTTCGGCCGGCTATCATGAGGAACGTGGCCACCGTCAGCAGCGCGACCACGCTCTTCGGTGTCCAGCTCGATATGCCCCTCTACATTACCCCGACAGGGACCGCCAAGACAGCCGGACCTGAAGGCGAGTTGGCATTGACCAAAGCCGCCTCTGCCAAGGGCTCAATTCTTTGCATGTCGACGCCCACTTCATTCCCGCACGACGAAATCCTTGCTGCCACGCCCCAACAGGCCTTCTTCCAGTTGTACGTCAACAAGGATCGACAGAAGTCAGAAGAGGCAGTTCGGAAGGCCGAAGCCACGGGCAAGGTCAAGGCTTTGTTCGTTACCGTGGACTTGCCTGTGATATCCAAGCGCGAAGCTGATGAGCGGGCCAAGTTCGATGCATCGACGATGAATGTCAAGGCCGGGGGGATGTCGGCGACTGCGGATCGGAAAGGAGCAGGGCTAGCGCGACTGAATTCGTCCTTCATAGACTCTTCACTTAGCTGGGACGATATCGCGTGGCTCAATCGCATCACGAAGTTGCCGCTCGTGCTGAAGGGCATCCAGCGCTGGGAAGACGCGAAACTGGCGCAAGAACACGGTCTGCAGGGCATCGTGCTGAGCAATCATGGCGGCCGCGCCGCTGACACGGCCAGCCCGGCAATCGTGACGCTATTGGAGTTGCACAAGAACTGTCCCGAGGTCTTTGACTCGATGGAGGTGCTGGTAGACGGAGGCATCCGTCGAGGGTCGGATGTGGTAAAGGCAGTCTGTTTGGGTGCATCTGCCGTTGGCATAGGGAGACCGTTCCTGTACGCCAACAATTATGGTCAGGAAGGAGTTGAGTACGCTTTCGACAGTAAGTCCTCGCCAATACAACCATGACAGGAGCTTCTTGGCGCATTGCTAACCACGAGAACAGTTCTACGAGACGAGATCCATACCGCGATGCAGCTATGTGGACTCACAGACCTGATGAGGGACGCGAGTGCCCAGTACGTTAACACGGGCGAGGTCGATGGACTGGTCAGGAAAGGCGGGCATCCATATATCAGGGACCGAAGGCGGCTGAAGGCTAATCTATGAGAGCCCTTTCGATGGACTAGCGGAGCGGCTGTGCTGCAGATCTAGTTACACGACGAGAAATCGCAAGATCATTGAGCTTGCGAGCTTGTATTTTATCAGATGCAGTACGTGCATGAGAGGCGCTGTCGTTATTCGGTGTTCGGTATCCTGTCCTCCTCACGTGGTAGAGAATAGACCGACAAATCAGACTCGAATCTGCGGCTCTCGATACATTTGAAGGAATGTTGTCAGCCCAGGGTTCACGGCAGTTCTCGGGAAGCATACATTCCGACGCGTTCGTCACATTCTGATATGGCAGAAAACGTGGGGCTGCAAGGGGCTCTCGAGACTGTTCAATGCAATTTCATACGAAGGGTTAACGCCATCTATTTTCGCCATAATTCAGTCTCTCGAGCGCGAAATCATCCATCGACTTCTTTGATCGGTGAACACAACGTGCGGACACAACGTGCACCGTGATTTAGCATCAGCGTTAATTTTGGGTTCATCATGTCGAACTTCCTGCGGCAGACCCTCGCCCTCGAGGAGAACGGAATCTATCTCGATGAGAAGCACCCACATCGCGAAAACCATCTTTCGCCAGAGCATGCGAGAGGGTCATCCACACTCCCCCAGCATATGGGGATCAGGCCGGGCAATAAATTCTTGAGAGTGTGCCAGCTCATTTTCGTACCTTCGTTTCTACGTTCGAGCACGAAATCGGCTAGCCGACCAAATGCCGGCCTCATGGCTCTCGACGGCCTACGTGGGTTAGCCTGCCTGGCAGTCGTCAATCAACGTATGTCTCTACCTGTCTCTCATGACCAGAATCTGCCACAGACAATGCCGGAGGTCACTTTCAAGGTGAATGTACAAATGCTGATTTCATTCCGTGTTCTTGCAGACTACACCTCTACCTTTACCGCTCGCATCTATCACTTTGGCTGGGGCACATATCCCCAGGATAAGAACCTCGCACAATTTCCGTTTGTGAAGATTCTGTGGTCTGGTTCCGCCCAGGTCTTCACGTTTTTCGTTCTTTCAGGCTACGTCTTGTCCTACAAGCCCATCAAGCAGATGCGAAACCGTTCTTCGCAGGTCCAGAAGACGCTTTCATCATCGATATTTCGGCGTGGCATGCGTTTATTCATTCCCGCCTTTGCGATGGTGGCTATCATCGCCGTGGCAGCACAAGTTGGCATTTACAAGTGGGCACAGGCGGCCGCGGAGCAGGGGCTTATGGATCACTTGGAGAACATTCCACCACAGCAGCCGAACATATGGTACATGTTCAACACCATCTGGAACGACTTTGCGACGATGACGAACATCACGAATTGGGGCTATGTTCAGCCCAGCCTGCATCCCCACCTCTGGACGATCATCATCGAGTTCCGAGTCTCTATGCTACTGTACCTTGTACAGACCGGAACAGCCCGTCTGAAAAGCTGGGCAAGAGTACTCGTTGCCGGATACATGTTCTTCTGGTTCTCCAACACGCTGACACCAGTGGGCTCACAGACAGCGCTCTTCTTCGCCGGTATGATACTCGCTGAGGCTGACTTGGCATTGCTCGCCTTCCGGGAAAGTCATTCGGCGCCCAGCACAGGCACATATGTGGCATGGGACCCCAACCGTCGCCCTCTGTCTACGGCCGATCATATCGCCCGTCTTACGGACCCTAAGAGCATCTACTGGCGGGCTTTCCACATAGTCGTGTTTCTCGTGGGCATGTTCTTCCTGAGCTGCCCGTACAACGGCTCCGAAGTGACGCCCGTCTATCGAGTCCTGGTTGCGTGGTTGAACCCTTCCTGGTATAAGGCCCTCGAGCATTCCTACTGGCTATGGAGCGTCGGTGCGATGTGCTTGCTTAGCTCCGCGGCGCACTCCTGCGACATCCAATGGATCTATACCAACTCTTTCTCTCAATACGCCGGGAAGGTGTCGTTTGCATTATACCTCGCCCACGGACCGGTGCTGCATTGTGTCGAATACAGCATGCTTCCTTTCTTGGCGGCGATCACAGAGCCTCTAGGCGGGCGAGAGACGCAGCTGGGCTTTTTGTTGCAGTGGATCATGGGCGCGATCGTCTCGATACCCATCGTGTTCTATTTCGCGGACATGGTCTACCGCCTGCTGGATGTGCCATCCGTGCAGTTTGCGAGATGGTGCGAGGAGAAGTTCGAGGAGGCAGCGTGGCAGGTCAGCTCGTCCCCACGGACGAAAGGTTGAGCAATGGGGATTCCAGTGAAGAGTAAAGCACTCAAATCCACGGCTACAACCGCAGAATGGAGGTTTTATCGAATAATCGAAGGGTCAGGCAACGATCCTTTGAAACCTTTCCACATCAAGTAGGTACACCACGTACTATTCTCATCTTGTAATTAGCATCATGGTATAACTCCTGATCTATGATCCTGGCATGCTTTGTCATCTTCCAGCAGTGGCTTTCCATCGCTTGTCATTGCTTTTTCGTCCAGTCCAGTCCAACAAACCTAGACATGCAAGCCATCGGTTGCCAAATATGGAAATGTGTCGCATTCCCGAAAAGGCAAGTTCAGAGTCCTGGCTCGGCGGTGGAAGTTCAATGATTGGTTGCAGGTCGGATATGCTTTCGGTGTCGCTCTGGCTGCCTTTCTATATCTGCCTGGTCGTCGCCAACAACACGGCCCCTCCGTGTTTCGTTCGATTTGGATCTCAAAAGAGGCAACTCGCACGACCTAAAGCTCACACGTAACACGCCAGAATGCCGCTGCTCAAGCGCAACATTCCTCTTCATCCAAGTAACCACCTTCCCTTGTCCCTGTCCCGCAAAACTTACGATGTCATTGTCCTCGGCTCCGGCCCTGCAGGCCGACGACTCGCCTCCCTGACAGCTTCAGCCAAGCTGGGCACCGTGATCGTCGAAAATGAGCTCTTCGGCGGCGATTGCCCTTTCTGGGCATGCATTCCGTCCAAAGCTCTCTTGCGGCCCAATGAAGCATTAGGTGCGGGTCGGCAAATGGGTGGCTCGAAGCAGATGATACAAGAGTGCACCCCCGATGGCAGCACCATTGATGTACAGGGTGTATTTAAACGGAGAGACGGGATTGTCCAGGGTTGGGATGACACGATTCTGCTGAATCTCTCGCTCGATCAGGGGGTAGATGTCGTGAGGGGACAGGGGAAGTTGACAGGGGTGAAGAAAGTCGAAGTCACGAACCTAGATGGCAACCAAGTGGTGCTGGAGGCGACGCAGGCTGTAGTGCTGGCCACGGGGTCAGAGGCTACAATCCCAAAAATAGAGGGATTGGATCAGATTGACTGGTGGACGAGTCGAGAAGCGACGGCGGCGAACTTTGTGCCAGAGCATCTGGTTATCTTGGGAGGTGGAGTCATTGGGTGCGAGATGGCAACTTTCTATGGGTCGCTAGGAAAGCGAGTGACGCTGATCAGCAGTAGCAAGCGACTGCTGCCACGATGCGAGCCCGAGGCGAGCGAGTTGGTCAAGAAATCGCTGACTGCACTCGGGGTGGAGGTTTGCCTGTCAACTGCGATCGATAAACTCAGCAAAGTCGACAAGGACAAGTTCAAAGCCGATTTAGCTTCTGGAGATCATCTCACTGGGTCCGTCTTGCTTCTCGCTACTGGCAGAAGGGCTAGTACCCAAGATCTTGGACTTGAAGACCTGGGAGTCAAAGTTCACCCTAAGCTGGAAGTCAGCGAGAGCCTCTGCGTCGCGACAGCTACAGGAAAGTGGCTTTACGCTATCGGTGATGCAAACGGCAGGAACCCTATGACACACATGGGTGTTTACCAAGCCCGAACTGCAGGTCTGGCAATTATAGCTCGATCTCGGAAGATGGCACTGGTTGAGGAGCCGTTCAATGATTTCTCGGCGACAGCAGACCACGAGATGGTTCCTCAAATTATCTTCACAGATCCTCACGTGGCGATGGTTGGTCTGACCGCGGCCCAAGCTGAAGCAAAGGGCCTGAACGCAAAGATTGTAGCAGTCCCGTTCATGTTTCCGGGCGCATTCGTCCATGCAGAGCTCAACTATGAGGGTTGGGCTCAGTGGGTAATCGATGAAGATACGAAAATTCTGGTGGGCGCAACCATCGTTGGCCGGGAGGCGGGCGACCTGCTCCATGCCAGTACTGTCGCCATTGTCGGGAGAATACCTGTGCCAAAGCTATGGCACGCCGTCGCCAGTTTCCCGTCTATGAGCGAGGTCTATACGGCTCTTTTGATGGCTTCCGGCTACTGATTCCAGAGGGCTGTCCGGCAGTAGAACAATCTCGCAAGTCAATATTGCTGTGATCTAGGTCTCCTTGTTTGTACACAGGCCACAAGAGATGTTATCCATCAGCACGTAAGTAAATCTGCCTGCTTTCACGACCAGTGACTATCCACACCTCTTCTGTACTATACTACTTGAAGAGAGCTTATCCAATTGAATGCAATTATTCAGAGCCAACCAACTGCTCGAACAGCACTCAGATCGGTAAGTGGGCTTGACCATGTCACCAATGAATGGCTCATGCTAACAATGCGTGTCATGTCGTAAGCTTCCATCCCGGGCAGTAGAGTCCTCGGTTCAGGCCATGTTCCTTTGGGCCAATAGGCGGCCTAATAGAACACAGCTACTAGTCGCGTTACGGTCGATTGCCGATTCTGTGTCCAATGACATGCTAGTTGGCTAGAAAGTCCCAGAGAAGACGAAGCGATCGCTCTGGTTCTCAACTATACCGTGGCTGCAGACGTATGATACACTAGTCACAAACCCGGTAAGCTCGGCATTGTGACAGCCATCGCCACCAGCAGCGGAGGCGTACTAAGGCACAGTCCTTACATGCTTTACTTTACTTCCACACCGCAGTCTCGTTACCGTACATTATACCGACGCAGCCAGCCATACAAAACTCCGGCATGCAGCCCCTAGATCCACAGTACTATCCAGGCCAAGCTGTGCTCAAGCCCTGAAGCTCCTCGCCCTCAGCCGGCTGACGCTGACCTCATTGGTTCCAACATCCACCGTCGGTCCCACAGCTGTAGGTGTGATACTCAAGTCACCGGCCGGGGCAGATCCATCCCCGTTGTCGGCATATGCGCCCGCGATAGCAGTCGACGCTATGCCTGCGGCGACAGTCTTTGCATAGCTGTCCGATTGCGAGTTGTCTCCGCTGGAGGTGCTGACGGCGCTCGCATCAGCTTGGCCGTTGCTTGTGGATGTGTCCGCGTCGGCGGTGGGAGGGTCGGAGCGACGGAAGCGCAGGCGCATGCTGCTGCTGCTCCGGGGGATGAGGTCGATGAGCGAGGAGGCGCCGGAATCGGTGCTGCCGTCGCCTTGAGCGGTGGAATGGGAGTTCGAGTTCGCGATGCTGCCCAAGCCGCTGTTATCGGAGTGAGAGCTAGCGGACGCTGTGGTCTGGTCGTCGTCGTCGTCGTCGCGGCGTGTGAGGATGGAGGTGACGCCGTAGAGAGGACCTTTAGAGCCGTTGGCGCCTTGTGCTGAGCTGATGGCACTTCCATCAGCGTGAGCCAGCGTTCCATCTGCCGAAGAGCTGGACTGGGAGTTTGCGTTCACGTCGTTGCGCTTCCTTTTTTGATATGATCAGTATAAGTCCTGAAAAGAAAACAGAAGAAGTGGGTTTTAAAGGTACACTTAGGAGGCATCGATCGCACTGGCGATGGCTTTTGATCTCCACATATCATTAAAATGGTACAGACAACTCAACGTAAAACCCGGAAAGACCAATGAAACCAGATAAACTCACAAGCTGCCCATGATAACTTTGTATACCTCATTCTCCCCAGTAACGTCCTTGGCTGAATTGCTGTTGCTTGCCTCATTGTCGTCACCAGCACCTTGAGCATTAGACTGCGCGCTCCCGTTGGCAGATGAACCATCTCCTTTCGCAGTCGACTCGTTCTCGGACGTAGCCGTCACGTCTCCGTTGTTAGAGGGTTGGTTTCGGCGTCTGAGACCACTTGTCAGGGTCTTGGTGATTGACTCATAGTTGTCTCCCTCAATATTGTCAGCCGTGTTGGTGTTGGTGGCTTTGTTGTCATCACCGGCACCCTGAGCATTTGACTGTGCATTGCCGTTGGCAGCTGAACCATCTCCCTTGGCAGTTGACTCGTTGTCAGATGTCGCAGTGACATCACCGCTGGAAGCTTGGGGTTGATTCCGGCGTCTGAGGCCACTTGTCAGGGTCTTAGTGAGCGACTCATAGTTATCACCCTCGATGTAATCAGCCGTGTTGGTGTTAGTGGCCTTGTTGTCGTCTCCAGCGCCTTGGGCGTTTGATTGTGCGTTACCGTTAGCGGCCGATCCGTCGCCTTTGGCGGTTGACTCATTGTCAGACGTAGCGGTCACATCACCACTAGAGGGCGTATTGCGACGACAGGTGCTGCAGCCTGTGAGCTTCGTGATGGTTGTCTTTACAGTGTTGTCGCCTTCAACATCGTTGGCGGAGTTAGAGTTGCTCGCAGTGTTGCCGTCACCGGCTCCCTGAGCATTGGATTGAGCACTGCCATTGGCTGCGGATCCGTCACCCTTGGCCGTAGATGTGTTCTCTGAGGTGGCGGTCACGTCACCCCCTTGAGGCTGTGGGTTGTTGTTGTTGCGGCGACGCTTCGACCCAGTGATCGTAGTAATGATCTTGTCGTAGCCTTCAACGTCAGCGGCAGTGTTGGAGTTGCTTGCTTTATTGTCATCGCCAGCTCCCTGTGCATTAGATTGAGCACTTCCATTAGCTGCCGACCCATCACCCTTGGCATTAGAAGTGTTCTCTGACGTGGCAGTCACATCACCATTGTTCTGAGGCTGGGACTGTGACCCACTTCCAGTTCGGCGTCTGAGCCCAGTCACTGTCTTGACTATCTCGTTATCACCATAAACACCATCGACAGTGTTGGAGTTGCTCGCTGTGTTACCATCGCCGGCTCCTTGAGCACTAAGAGCGTCGTGTCAGTAGGGCTGCTATGAGTCTCGAGGGTAGGGGGCTGAAAGGAGTACTAGAATGCCAGACCGGACCAGAGAGATGTCTGTAGGAGGAAGTCGACTTACTTTGACTGGGCGCTCCCGTTTGCGGCTGAACCATCACCCTTAGCAGTGGAGGTGTTCTCGGATGTGGCGGTCACATCGCCTCCTTTTGGTTGAGTCGACCCATTAGGGAGAGGGATGGCAATGCCAGAGACGACCAAATAGGCCGCGAGGATGCTGAGAGCTTTGGTGCAGTGCATGTTGACAGATTAAGTGAGCTGTTGCTATGATCCAGAATGATGCTGCTAGGAGGCAGATGGGCTGCTGGGAGCGAGAGTGTTTGAGTGACTGGAGTAACGACCTGAGGTAGAGAATATTTCCAATGTCAAAGTGGCATCTGCCTTGAGCTTTATAGCTTGTCTCAAGTCTCATCCTGAAGGCAGCATGTACCATCCGCGTACTTTCCTGGCGTACACTCAGGCATGCTACAAACCCAAGAAGTGGACAATAACAGCCATCACCGACTTCCGCTCCGCGCATCTCTTGGACCGACAACATGAACACGGTGACTGCTCGTGTATGCAAGGACAATCTCTGCAAGGCATATCATTGCCGTAGAAAGTGCAATCTCTGGTGATCTTTGTCCGATGCTATCGATGTTATAGATTCACATTGGCCTGTGGTCAAGGTATAGTGATACGATCAGCCTGCAATGCCCAGAACGGGACTCACGAGAAAGCGGAATGCCAGCAGAGGTACCTGCCGGAGTATATCGTCAGTGGCGCGGACATCTGCAGCATATTCCAAGTAGGAAGGTGTGGGAAACCGAGCTCTTGTTTGGGAAGCATCGGTAGATGGATACGGGAAGATCGTCGCGGAGTACATAGAGTCTCACTCCGGTAGCGTCGGACAGGCACTCCGTTTGCCAGAAGAAGGGGATTTCTGGATGTCTCTGTGTCAGGAAGTGGTGGCTAGCTGATGCAGTGCATTGCAGTGGGGATAGAGTTTGGCCCAAGACATTCTTTCCCCGCGTTTGATCGGACACTCCCATTGTGTTGGTAACAGAAATACCGAATTGGTTTTAGACGGCTTCTTTAGTCTGCAGCAAGCCTTCCTGTTAGAGGCCCCCTGTTCGCTAAATAGCTTCCAAGTGCTGCAGCCCAAAGCTCACCAGCCGGGGAACTACAACATACTACTGGTTCGGACGGAAAACAGTTGCCGATGTGCTACCCTTCGTAGCTGGCGGCTTAGGTATGCGGAAGTTAAATGTTAGGTACAGCATCTTAGCCAAGACGGCGAATCGCCAGCAGGGTGTTCAAAGCGACGATCTGGGTCGTTGTGCGGCACTGGGTCCTTAGAAAACCTGAATCCGGGATCTTTGCGCAACGAGTCTGTATGATAGACCCTCAAGCGACTTGGTTGGAGAGTGGACGGAAGTTCAAGCAGGGCAATGGTGTTGCCTCAAACAAATTGCATGAGGGCGACTCGAATTCGTGACAAGCTTTCTCCTCTGTGCCCATGGCGAATGTACCTCACTTGCGTTCGCGGGTCGACCCGTGGGGGTCCATTTGAGCCAAGGTACGAAAGTAAAAGCGCCTTCGACATGAGCTTGTCTATCATGAGAATTCATTGGGTCATGAAAGCAGCGCGGAACTCCTGTCAAAGCAGTTGTGTCGAGGATCATCTTGATCTCCGATTGTTGGTACTCGTAGAATTCATTTGTAGACCATTCCCGCACTCGGCTGCATTAGTTCTCTCTTTGTTCTAGCCAGTGAGAAGAGCAGTTCTGGAACGGGCCTGCAGCGTACGTTATTTTTCACCACGGGAGCCCTTCAATTGGACCCTATGATCCCACAGAGGCCGACGTCTGCTCTCTTTGAACTGCTGATGCATACTAAGTCAAGTGCGGCATGCGTGCAAGACAGTGGCCCCGCTGCAAATGTACACTGTAGATCCTTTGCTTTACTAATCTTATCCTGAAGTCCGCAAAAGCATATGCTTCATTTTTGATCGACAAGGTAAACTCGCTGACAGCTCATCAGCTGTCTTTGCGGACGCAGATAAAACAAGACCTCACTGCAAGAGGAAGCGCTTCCACCTCGTACGGAACACCATGCATGACATCCGCAGCTTCGCTTTCGATTGGCTCGAGGGGGACAACACTTGATGAACTTGTTTCGGCAGAACAGCGGACTGAGTCTAGCTGTACACAGACGTGACCTATGAGGAGTAATTTTCACGCTGTCTACGGATTAGCTGCATCGTCTCCTAGTACTCTTACTCGTTCACGTATCGGCACACAACTGTCCACGGAAGACCGTGTCCAGTGAAGGACCATGGACATTCGCAGTCAGTGGTCACAGTCACGTCCACTCCCGTCTCTGACCAGCGAATGTTCGCGGACACCATGCGGGTTGCCCTTGGCAGTAAGACCGCTCCCAAAGACGCCTCCCTTCTTTTTCCCTCAAACCGGCTTTCACCCGTCTTCTCTGCACGCTAGACGCAATTCATGTGTCGTTGAACCTTTGTCACTAACCTGACTTGGCCTCACCTGTGCACCCAGCCGTGGATGATCGAAGTATGCTGCGGTTCGTTGGTTGGCAAGACGTAGCTCGTACGCACGCTCCTTGATCTTCGGACGCTGGTACCACTTCCGGTAGAAAGAAATCTCTATGTTGCTATCGGCCTAACAGCTCTTCTTGGGTATAGGTTCGGGGGGAGAAGCATAGAATCCCTGTCAGCGAGGACTGTTGGACCTAGGAAGCATTCGCATGGCATCCAGCACAGTTTCATGGCTGCAGCCGTCTTTCTTGGGCATGTTACCGCACAACAAAGCCAACTACACTTCTCGGCGGACCATTGCTAGATAACCAGCAGCTGTAACATCAAGAGGCTACGGCCATTTCACCTCAGCAACCTCTAGCATTGTTACCACTCATCACTACTCGATGGGAAGTACTTAGTGCGGCCGTTTTAGGCCTTTCCATAAGCTCTGGCCTCATTGCCCTCGAAAAGCCCGTGTAGACTCGTCCCGTGATGCTCCCACCAAGGAACACTCGTCAAGTGTCAAGCCCGAGGGCGTAACTCTAATTCCTGGCGGAATTGAAAGCGGTGGAAGTCCCGGCCTATTGGTAGCTATGAAGCAGTATTCAGACTGCATTGTATGCTGCTATTTGGCAAGCCTATGCAGCCCGTGTGGGGAGATTTGTCCATCTTTGGATTCAAGTTCTGTCGATTAAGTGCTTCCAACGCACTGCTGGCGAGCCAAACCTCACTTCACGATGCAGAACCTCACACCATCCCTCGGGATCTTCAAGCGGATTTGGGTATGCCTATTTTGAGAAAGGAGTGCCTCGCGCGATCCACCAGCCGGAGGACAATGAGAATCTCGGAGTGATGGGACTGTCTCAAGAAGCTCGTACTCTGGGGCGTATCCGCCGCAATCAAATATTCACTCCCTTTGCACCAGATTCTCTATGAAAAGCCAAAATCCGACCAGCTTGCTCTTCTATTTTCAACTCGCCATTAGGAAGAGCGATGCTGAGTGTCGACACCTCCGTAGTATCAATGCAACGAAGCTGTGGAGTCTGGCTGCGTTGTCTGGAGAATAATCTGTGCCTCACGAGAGGATGGGAAGAGAGATCAAGGAAGTTGAGTAGGACACGACATCTCTGGATGTGTGGCCACGCAACGCGCAAATAGTAGCCAATTGTGCATTACGTACCTTGTCATGCACTCCATGGCGAACTCGAGGACGTGTGTAGTGGATATTGGGCGACCCGACGTGAGGTACCAAGCACGAAGGATGAACGCGCAGAAAAGGAAGCAAGCAGCCATCGTGCCAAGGAGCTAAACTAAGTTTGGAAACTAAACTTGGCAAACGGGCTGGACCCACTTCTCCGCGCTTTGGGCAGGTCCGTGCTTTAATGTCCCGCAGAAACCTCCTCGCCAGCTCAGCAGACGGTGCTCAAGCAAAGATGTCAAGCTCGCTATGCTTAGAGATTCTTCTCCCAAGCCAATTCTCCTTTCTGGTCCTCTGCCGGTCACCTCCCCGTCAGAGTGAACTGCAAACATGCCGTACGGGTGTAATGTCCAGGCTTCGCTGCACAGCTGGGTAGTCATGGACGGGGCCTGGGCTACATTCATGCAGATGTCTAGAACAAGGCGTCCAGGCTGAGAGTTCTGCTCAGCGGCTGTACTCGATCAACATTCCTGTTCTGTATCCTAGACGGTATTATAAAGCCCTCCGAGAAGCTCAATGCTTCGACATGCCACCTTCGCGGTGGATTTGCCATAAAATACCCTGCGGGAAGGTGCTGACGAACTCTCGTGCCTAGAGGGTCAGCACCTAAGGGACCTGCTCCGCTCTAACGTCGCAGAACTGTTCTGG